GGAAATCAGTACTTTAAAAACAGATGTAGAAAATAAAGCAAAGTGTTCAAAGATCCTCGGCTTAGCCGAGAAAAATTATCAGCCATTCCAGAATTCAGAAGACCTCATCTTCAGATTTCTGGGGGGGCAGAGGGAAATAGAGAAATGGCACAACTGATCTAATACCCTTCAGCTCAGCCGAAGTTTGATACTTATGTCAGTTTTTTCACAAGTTGAAAACATCCGAGTACAAACGGCAAAAAGAAGTCTCAGCAGAAATGATTCTCGCTAGCTGAAGTTCTGCACTTAGCAAATATTTGAAAGATCATTCAAAGAAAGCAGTAAAGTGCGAAGACTGGTAAAGCGAAGAAAAAAAAAAAAAAAAAAAAAAATATACACAAGAAAGCTGAGAAAGTGAACTTCTTTGAAATAAAAATGTTGAATTACAAAAATAGTCGGCAGCCGCCCACAAGCGGAAAGTAACAGCTGCCGAAATGCGTACAGGCAAAATAAAAATATAATAAGCTGTTGTACGATAAGGCAAGCTGAAGCAAAAAAAAAAAACAAAAGGCAAAAATTCAGAAAGCGGCAAGTCTAAAGTTGAGCGCATGATGAACCGCAAGATTCTGAAGACGACTGCCCGAGTTCCTATGCTTCAGCCTGAGGATCAGACTGATCAGCTTCATTGGGCCCAATGGTGGTCTCAGCTCCAGCAGCAGAAGAAGCAGGCTTTGCACTCTGCCGAGCCTCCCTTTCCCTCTGCTCAGCCTCCAACTCCATCCTCTCAGCTTCTTCCTCGGCTTCCTCAGCCTTAAGGATTTCAGCTTCGATTGGAGTGGCATACTTCATGTGAGGGTCTTCGGGATCTTGGACCCATTCAGCACATTTGGACCAGTCCAGCTTCGGCTCAGCATGAAGGCAGACCCTTCGGCACACTCTGAACCCGTTTCTAAAACCCATTTCATACTCTTCTTGGGTATAGATACGGACTTTGAGTAGAGCCTCAGCATCGGCCAACTTCTTCTTCGTCTCCTCCAAGTCTTCCTCGGATCTCTTCAGCTCATCGACGAGCTTGGAGGAGGAGCCTTTCAGCTCGGTAAACTCTTGCTGAACCTGGGAAGCCTCGGCCTGAACTTGGACCATTTCTTCCTTCTTGGCAGTGAGCTGATCCTCAGCCTCTTGTAGCTTAGCTCTTTGAGCTTCAGCAGCAGCAGCAGCCCTTGAGAGTTGGACATCCCTAGCCTGGAGCATCTCTTCAGCAGCCATTCTGCTGGCTTCAAGAGATTCTAGCTGATGCTGCACCTCAGCCTGTGCAGCAGCTCCTTGGATTCGGCTCTCGATAGCAGCCTTGAACTTGGAGATGTCCACCCCCAGGTGCTCTTGGAGGAATTTTTCCCCTTCCATCAGTGGGGGAAAAACCTCCATCTCCATAGCATCACAGAAGGTTTTCAGAGCTTCGGCAGCTTTTTTACCGTACTCCTCAACCTCCTGCTGCTTCTCTTCAGCTGCTGCTTGCTTCAGCTTAGCAAGCTTAACTTCCTCTTCAGCCACCTTCCTTTCGTGCACAGCAGCGTCTACCCTATCTTGTAGGGTATCAATCAGCTCTACAGTGAGAGTCTGATTGTGCACGAACTGAAAACAGGGGCACAAGTTAAAAAAGTAAAAAATAATAGCTGAAAGGTTGAGTTCAGAAAGAAATCAAGGCAAGGAGAATTACCTGCATCATCAGCAGTTGGTTAGACCTGGCTGGGTCAGGAACTGATCTACTGGATTCGCCCATCCCAGCAGTGGCCTTCAGCGACCAGATCCTTGCCCTGTCTACTTCGGACATGCCAGCAAAATTGCCGAAGTAGGCTGCAGCTCCTTCTCGGTTTTGACCCCATATGAGGTCCCAGATGTGATCTGGGATTGGAATTCGGGGGGCCGAGAAACCCATTTCTCCAGAATGCAGAGTCTGGAAAGAAGGGAAGGACGACGATGGAGCTTGATTAGCTTTGGTTGTCTCAGCATCGTCCTTCTCAGAGGAGTCAAGTACTATGACCTCCTCTTCTTCAGGGGTGAGGACGAAAGCCTCAACCTCTCTTGCGATATCTGCCGTGAAGCCTTCAGCACTTGACATCACGGCATCTTTATTTCCGTGCTCAGCAGCACTCTCCTTGATTTCTTCTTGGACCCCTCCCTTAGGTTCGGGAGTCCTCTGATCCACCTCCATCTCAGGAGGTGGCGGAGGGGTCTTTTGAGGAGATTGGGGTGTTGGCTGGGGAACCCTCGGCGATCCATTGCCTTCCTCAGGTTCCCTTATTGCGACGCCGATGGTCATCGGCCTCTGCTGAAAGTCATGAGGGCCGATGATGGCCATCCTTCGGCGCCTTTTCAGAAGAGGCTGCTCGTCCATATCTGAGTCTGAAGACTCTTGTATTTGATCTTCGGGACGAACAGGAGCTTTGCCTTCTCTGTGTCTGTTACTCTCTTCAGACTGTAACAGACAGGGGGGAAGAAGAGTGTGAGTAAAAAAAAAAAAAGAAGAAAGACAAAGTTAAGTCTAAAGGCTCACCGAGGTCTTCAGCAAAGCCTCGTCTTCTTCAGCTGCCCTAGCCGCAGCTTCTTCAGCAACTCTGGAGGACCCTTCTCCACCTTCACAAGCTTCAATAACCCGTGCAACCTCTTCGGCTGTACGGGCAGCTTCAGCTTCTTCTTCCAGCAGCTGAAACAAGGGATCCCTCTTCTTCCACCAAGGCTTCTGCCTCTGATACAGAGCAACAGCCTCAATTTGGAAGTGGGAAGAGTCTAGGTGAACCTCTCGGCGCCTTGGTTCAGTGATAGGGGGAGCCCGATCAGTTACGACTCGTTCTCGGTTGACGCCAAGGCGAGCGTAATCAATGCCGACGTTGGTCTCGTCCCGTTCTGAAAAAGAAAAGGGGAGAAGTCAATTCAGTTAGTTCGGCACATCACAAGAAAGCAAAATGAAAGAAGAAAAGAGATAATTAAGGCCTCGGCCCCAGCCGAAGAAGATTACCATCCCTAAACTTTCGGCTGAGGCCGACAGCTGCCAGCATATTCTCTTGGAAAACATAGTGCGTATCGGGGAGCCAAGTCTCCGGGATATGCTGCATTCGGCCGCTGCCTCCCCGGTTCGGCAGCTTGCCGAAGATGTTCTGCTGATTAAGGTTCGGGTCTGGCCCGCTATCTTCGGGAGGACCTAAACTTCCCATATCAGGATCCGGCTCGGCAAGATACCGGGGAGCGCTGAAAACGTAAGGGTGGCTCGGCTCCGTGGGTGCCCTAACCCAAATCCATTGACCTCTCCAGTCCTTGTCTGAAGAGTCGTTCGGCCACATGGTTAGGAACGGGGGCCGAGACTCAATCCGATACCACCCAGAGCCATGGCATCCGTGCCCACTTTGAATGTTTGGCACTAGCCGATGGAGCCTTTTGAAGCAATGCAGGTTCGGCACGTACCTGAAGAATTTGCAGACCCATAAGTACGTCATTACCCTTCGGATGCTGGTGGGGGTCAGCTGGCACAGGGAAATGTTGTAATGGATCAGCAAGTCTCGGACGAAAACGTCCAAAGGGAACCTCAGCCCATACTGAAGCTGTCTCGTGTACACCCCCACATACCCCGGGGGTGGACGATGGATTCTATCGGATGCTGAGGGCATTCGGCACCAATATCCATCAGCTTCAAAAATGCCGTAGTGCAACTCAATTTGCTCGGCAAATCGATATTGATCGGCGTTCTCTACCCACCATGAGTAGGGGCGGTTCTTTATCATGGCCGAAGCGACTTCGGCATTCTCCCACTCTGAAAACCCAGGGAGGATATCCCAAAGGACAGCGGGAATTTCATCGTCCCGTCCAGAAGCACTCGGCTCATCCGTTCTCTGAGGAGGAGCCGAAGAAATGGGAGTCGCCCTAACCCCTTCAGCAGGGTCAGACTCTGTCCTTCGTCCATTCCAGGTCCCAATCCTGTCCCTGGGATCGGGGATTAGCCTTGCTCTTCTTGGAGCACGGGCTCCACCTCTAACTCCCCTCACCATTGACGAATTTCGAAGGAAAAAGTCGAAAAAGGGGAAAGAGTGCAAAGTCGAAGAAAGATGAAATAAAATCAAAGGAATTTACCTTGATCTGAAGCAAAAGCCGCCGATTTACGAATTGGTAGTGACAAGTCTCAGCTTCTAAGCTTAATGCTCGGGGAATTTGCGAAGTTTTGATGCGGGCTCTTGAGCGTTCTTGAGAATTCTGGGTTTGTGTTGATGAGTGAGTGGGGAGAGAAGACGCGCCTCTATTTATATCTCCAGAAATGGGAATTCAAGGAGTCTGCGTTTCAATTTCTCTCAAGCACCCCACTAAGTAACCGTTAAACACACGACCTTGCAGTTAAGTCGCCCACTACCCGTCCAACTTCCGCAATTATCCACATTAACTGTTGTTATCTCATTAATCATGGGTTAATTACGGTTTAAATTCACATTTTTGGATTAACAAATCATTCACTTCCCTCCTTTTCTGATTAAATCAAACCCGACCCGTCATCCTTCCAAATCGGGTCTGGGGGGCAAGTTGTTTGGGTCCAATTTAGTCCAATTGGGCCTGGTCACTGAATGATCCAATTAAAAGCCCAAGGTTAAGGTTCAACTCTCCTATGTGCTAAAGTCAAAAATCAAACATCCTCAAAGCCATGTCAAGGTCAGTCAACGGCCCAATCAGCTTGGCCCAGCCCAACTGACTTCCGGGCCCAATCCGCCTCCTTCATTAGCCAAGGTATAAAAGCCAACAATTTGGTCAATTCTTGGTAAGACAATAAAGCCTCAAGCAACTAAACTCTTGCACAGCTTTCTCTCTCTAATATACTGACTTAAGCATCGGAGGGGCCTTCCTCGGCGTCCCCCCCGAGGCTAGTTTACGTGTATTTGTTGTGCAGGAAACCCTCGGCTCCTGCGTCATTCGGACCGAGACCAAGTTCCCTCAAGATAAAAGGATCTTCCGAGATTCGATTGTTTTCATCCGAAACACCATGAATCATTGTTTAGCGGACGGGACTTCCTTGTGGCATTTTATCTCGACCTTGTCCGAGATTTTTTTACAGTTGAAGGATGAAAATCACAACGATAATAATAATCTCACTAAAACTGAAGGTACAAATTTCCAATCAGGTATATCTTCATTCAATTCATCGTCCTTAGCTATTTTTTTTTTAATTAATATAGAACTTCATTAAATTGATTGTTGTGTTAATTACTTCCAGTACTAGCCTACTTGACTAGGACATGCATGTTATACCACCATCAGTTGTGACTTTTGAGCATTTTGATTTGATTAAGATTTTTGAAAGTTTCTGCATGAAGCAAAATAATTAGTGGAACACTTGTACTCTTGTACAATAGCTGCATCAACAACAACCAAAAAAATAATAAAATAAATAATTAAGGGTTCGTTTGGCATCGTTGTGATTTTCTGTATTTTGGTTTTTTGTTTTTCAAAATCATATGATTTATGTCATTTAATGAATTAAAAATTAATCAAACTTATTAAAATCATAATACTACCTCCGTTTTTTGTTATTTGCAACAAGTGTACCGTTCACGCATGCCAAGGCAAAAGTTTTAAAGCATGGTTATTGAAATATAAGGGCATGTAATTAAGTATTAATTCTACATATAAAAAAATAAAAAAATAAAAAAAAAATAATAATAAATAAACAAAACCAGCACCACCACCAAAACCCAAAACCAGAACCACCACCAAAACCACCGACAACCACCAGAACCACCAAGCCCAAGCCCGTCGACACTCAGAACCCAAAATACCACCAAAACCACCGAAACCCAACCACCAACCAAGCCTTCACCACCGAAACCACCTAACCCACAAACCCAGATCCGAAACCCACGAAACCCAAAACCACCTTTTGAACCCAAAACCACCACCGACGCCACCCTAAAACACCCACCTTTCGAACCCGAAACCACCTAACCCACCACCCACAAGATGATGAAGGAGGAGAGAGAAAGTTAATGTTGAAGAGGATGAAGATGGAGAAAATAGATTATGAGGGAAGAGGAAGAAGATGATGAAGGAGGAGTGAGAAAGATAATGGGGAAGATGAAGAGATGATGAAGGAGGAGTGGCTGTTGGGGGTAGATTGATGATTCTGAAAAGATAAAAATATGTTTAATTGATTAGATTAGTTTTTAATCAATTATGTTTAAGTATGTAATTGATGTTATAAAGTTTTAAGTAAGGGTATTTTTGTAATTTCATTTTAAAAAAATTACTAAAAATAGAAAGATTTGGGAATGTTGCAAATAATAGGTAGCACCCCTTTCGGGTAAATGTTGCAGATAACAAAAAATGGAGGAAGTATAATTTTGAAAACTGATAACAGAAAAGTAGAAACACCTTTTTCTTGTTTCTTGTTTTTTGTTTTAAAAAAGACAGAAAACTGAAAACAAAAAACGATGTCAAACAAGCCCTAAAGAACTCAATCCATATATACCTTTTAGTCTTATATGCTTCCTTCGTTCTAGTAATATTACAACAACTGGACTTTTGTACTATTCATCATGCTTATTTGACCACAAATTATGATTTATACATAAAGTAAAATATAGTCATGTGGGGTCTTATTAGATTTGTCTCGTAAAATAATTTCACAGTATCAACTTTTTATAATTTTTACTCTTATATAATTATAGATATTTAACATATAAAATGTGCTTTTATTTGGGATACGTAATTTCATCCTTGTTGCAATATTTGTGGAACAAATGAAATATATTGACATTTGTGTTCAACTTTTTACAAATATGATTATAATAATTCACAATTATGAATATTAAATTAATATCAAGTGGAATCTTGTTAGCTTTGGTTTGATATATTTTCTAAAAATAAATTTTCAGAATTTTTAATTTATTCATTATCATATTAAATTATGTGGCTGGTCAAAGATGTTCATTATTATGGACTATAAATATAAACGTTTTAAAGAACAAAAATTTTAAAAAAAAAAAAGGAACGGAGGGATCGGAGTAGCTACTACAATTGAATGAATCTTGACCCTTAAGGCTCATCATCGTATCCATTTATTTAGTTGACTTAGCTTTATACATATACGCGTAAAAAAAACAAATACTCCCTCCGTTTTTAAATACTTACTCCATTTCTCCATGCGTGAAGTTTTAGGAGAAATTGGAGAAAGTAATAAAATATGGAAGTAATGGGGTTGGTGAAAGAATAAAAAATTGTAAAAAGCAAAAACAATTGAGAGAATTGGAAGAGAGAGAATAAGAAGTTAATAAAATATGTTTTATGCTGGGTCTACTAGGTGAGAGAAATGAATTAAATATTATAAAAGCTTTCCAAATAAGGAAATGGAGTAAGTATTTAAAAACGGCCGAAAATGAAAAGTGGAGCAAGTATTTAACAACAAAGAGAGTATTAAAAAAAAGGTTTATTATCTAACTATACATCTGTTACATTGAGGAAAATTAGTTTATTGTTCCTATAAAGGTTCGAGATTTACAAAGAAAACAATTTTATTATCGTAATATTTTTTTGTGTGTGTGATTAGTACTTAATGTCATATAGAAGATTTTGGACAATTTGGTAAGAAAATTTTATTTTATTTTATTTTATTTTTCTTTAAATATATTTGGTGTATATATATATAGGGGAAAGCTCTCATGAGAACTCCTTTATGTGAGAATTGTTGGTCATTTGATATATGAGCAACAATTTTTAGTTCATTTCTTTAATGAGCAATCATTTATTTGCTCATTTGTCAAATGAGCAAACAATTTTTGTTCATTAGATGTGATTCCTAAAACAATAACAATCGCGGTTATTGACAAATTTTCACTCATGTAAACAAAGTTTTGAATTATATCTATCTAGGCATTTCACTTATTTGGCATCTACTCTAACGAGACAAATTAAACAAATTATTCACATTGTTGAATAATGCAGATTCTTCCATGTGTAGGGATCGGAAGAGGTCACTACGACTCTCACAAAATCACCAACTCAAGACAATCAACCAATAATTCAAACAAATCAACCCAAATTATTTCACAACCAAATAACCACACACACAACCAGCAATAATGCAGTAGCAAAATAACAATAGCACCAACAATAATAGGAAGAAAAGATAATAATCAACACACGAGACTTTTACGTGGAAAACCCCTTCGATGTGAAGGATAAAAAACCACGGGACCGTTAAGGAGTCCACCCTAACTTCTCTTATTGATAGTTGAGGGTAAAATAAACCCAAATCAGTCTACAAAAGGTTTATACACCCATCAACAACAACAAACAATAAGAGATGAAAATGAGAGAACAAGAGGAGTAGAAATCACCCAAAAACAGTGCTTCTGTCCAAGGACGATTCTGACCAAACTAGAGCTCAAACGACGATCTCCACCGTCCAAAATGAAGCCCTTGATGTCAGGAACAAGCTGTCAAAATTTGAGGATGATCCAACGGTTGAATTTCTGGCAACGGACAAATCTCTAAAGGCTGTCCAGAAAAATCCGAAAATGAAATACTCACTTTCTCTCTCTTTTGTGTGTTGTCATTTTTTGTGAATGAATTCCACTCCTCACTTCACTTGGCTGCTGCCCTAATCTCACAAAAATTTTACCCCAAAGCTTTCTAAGAAAGCCACCAAAAATAAGCCCAAAAAGACTTACTACAAACTAGCAAAATGTAATAAAATTTGACCAAGTAAAATGGGCCAAATACAAAATACATTTTACCACAAATTGGGCTGGACCCATAACAATCTCCCCCTCCAGCCCAACACGGGGAAGACCAACACGCTTCAAGCATCACTTGAAGCTCATTCCCACAAGCTTGCTACAAACATCAAGCTTGCTTCCGGGAACCATCTTAGTCAACATATCTGCACCATTCTTGTCGGTGTGGACTTTCTTCAGTTTCAAATGCCTTTCTTCAATCACATCTCGTAACCAATGATATCGAACATCAATATGCTTGGTACGAGAATGGTACATTGCATTCTTACTCAAATCCATAGCACTTTGACTATCACAAAGCACTACATATTCTCCTTGCTTCAAACCCAACTCACGAAGGAACCTTTTAAGCCATAGCATCTCTTTGCCAGCTTCCACAGCTGCAATATACTCTGCCTCAGTTGTTGACAATGCTACACATTTTTGTAGCTTGGATTGCCATGAGATGGCTCCCCCTGAAAAAGTAAACACATAACCTGAGGTAGACTTTCTGTTATCAAGATCACCTGCCATGTCTGCATCTGTATATCCTTCAAGTAAAGGTTTGCCACTTCCATAACACAAACTTAACTTGGAAGTGCCCCGCAAGTATCTGAAGATCCACTTTACTGCTTCCCAATGAGCCTTACCCGGATTGGATAAGTATCTACTCACTAATCCAACAGAATGTGCAATATCTGGCCTAGTACAAACCATAGCATACATCAAAGAACCAACAGCAGAAGAATATGGAATAGAAGACATACTTGCTTTCTCCTTCTCTGTTGTAGGACAAGCTTTCTTGCTTAGCTTGAAATGTGGTGCAAGTGGTGTACTAACAGGCTTGGCATGCTTCATATTGAACCTTTCAAGAACCCGTTCAATATACTTTTCTTGTGATAGCCATAATTTTCCCGCTTTCCTATCACGAGCAATCTCCATGCCTAAGATTTGCTTTGCGGGACCCAAGTCTTTCATGTCAAATGACTTGGACAAGTTTTTCTTCAAGTTGCTAATCATCTCTGAATCTTGTCCAACTATCAGCATATCATCTACATACAAAAGAAGGATAATGAACTTGCCACCAGGGAACCTCTTAAAGTACACACAAGGATCTGCAGAAGTCCGCTTATAACCATTACTTGTCATAAACGAATCAAATTTTCGGTACCACTGCCTTGGTGCCTGTTTAAGCCCATAAAGACTCTTTTTTAACTTGCAAACAAGATTTTCTTTCCCCTTTTCCTCAAATCCTTCAGGTTGCTCCATGTAGATTTCTTCATGCAAGTCACCATGTAAAAAGGCAGTTTTAACATCAAGCTGTTCTAACTCAAGATCAAGACTTGCAGCTAACCCTAGCACAGTTCTGATAGAAGTCATTTTGACAACTGGAGAGAAGATCTCATCAAAGTCAATGCCCTTTTTCTGGTTACATCCCTTGACCACCAATCTGGCTTTCCTCTTCACAATCTTCTCACCATCTTTCTTGTTCTTGAAAACCCACCTGTTTTTCAAGACTTTCTTACCCTTGGGAGGCTTCACCAACTCATAAGTTTCATTCTTCTGTAAGGAATCCATTTCTTCCTTCATTGCATCGAGCCACAAATCTTTCTCTTCAAGAGACAACACTTCTCGATAATTTTCTGGCTCTCCATCCTCGGTGAGTAGAATGAACTCTGAGCTTGGATACCTTGTTGAAGGCTTGTGCTCTCTGGTTGACCTTCGAACATGTGTATCCACAACTTGAGGGGTAGGTTGCTCCCCCTGCTCATGAACCTCTTCATGTACTTCTTCCTCATTTGATGAAGACTCATCATGATCAACACCATCATCCTCATGAACGCCATCATCATTATGATGAATTGGTACATCACCATCAGGTTGTACCTCACCAACATCTTCATGATTCTCCTCAACATTCTCATTTGCAGGCTGATTTACAGGTGTAGGAGAAGAAACATCATCAGTAGTATCAAAAGACAATTCTGAAGTAGAAGAATACCTTGTACTCAGAAGATCTGCACCCTTCTCATGCTCAAAGAATACTACATCTCTACTTCTCACAACCTTCTTTTTTTCAGGATCATATAGTCTGAAACCATACTCTTCATCACCATAGCCAACAAAGACACATGGATTAGTCTTGGAATCAAGCTTCGATCTTTGATCTTTCGGCACATGCATGAATGCCTTGCATCCAAAGACTCTCAAGTGTGAATATGAAGGATCACACCCTTTCCATGCTCTATCAGGAATGTCAAAACCAAGAGGAACTGATGGAGAACGGTTGATCAAATAAACGGCACACTGAACTGCTTCAGCCCAGAATGTCTTAGGAAGGTCAGACATTCTAAGCATACATCTCACTTTCTCCATAATGGTTCTGTTCATCCTTTCTGCAACTCCATTGTGTTGTGGTGTACCAGGCTCTGTCTTCTCATGTCTTATGCCATGCTGTGAGCAATAATACTTGAACTCTTTCGAAGTGTACTCACCACCATTGTCAGTTCGAAGACGCTTCAACTTTCTTTCTGTCTCCCTTTCTACCATGGAATGAAATTTCTGGAAGACCTCGAACACTTGGCATTTTGTCTTCAACATATACACCCAAGTTCTTCGAGTAGCATCATCAATGAAAGTGACAAAATATCTATTGCCACCAAGAGATTCAACTTCAATGGGACCACAAACATCGGAGTGTACTAACTCCAACTTGGCTTGCTTTCTAGTAGACTTCCTGGAAAAGAAAGCTCTATGCTGCTTTCCTGCCAAACAATGATCACAAGGGTCAAGAGAAACAGTTTTATCAACAGGAATCAATGTTTTACCTGCTAAAAGTTTTAATCCCTTGTCACTCATATGTCCCAATCTTCGATGCCACAAATTAGGAGAATTCTTCTCTTCCACTGCATTAATCTCACCAGAACATACACTCAAATACGTCTTGTACAAAGAGCAACACAACTCACCCCGAGCGACTGTCATCGAACCCTTAGACAACTTCCACTTACCATCACCAAAGGTATGTCGGAAACCCTCTAAATCAAGAACATTAGCAGACAACAAATTAAGGCGTAGATCAGGAATATGGCGCACATTCTTCAATGTAAGCACGCACCCAACACTTGTCTTCACACGAATATCACCTAGCCCAACAATGCTTGCTGAGCTCTGATTTCCCATCTTCACACTACCAAAATCACCAGACTTGTAGTTCATGAAGTACTCTCTCTTGGGAACACAATGGTATGAAGCCCCTGTATCTACTAACCACTCTGTGTCTGAACTGTCAACATGATGACACTCACTAGTTGCACAAATCAAAGTGACCTCATCATCACTTTTGGAAGCTGTTGCTGCAGTGTTTTTATCATCTCCCTCTTTTTGTGAATCATTCTTCTTTCTCTGTTCCTTTTTCAAACGGAAACAATACTTCTTGATATGACCAGGCTTCTTGCAGTAGTGGCAGGTATTCACATTTCTTCCATCATTGGATTTGGACCTACTCCTTGAGTTATCACGACCTTTGGGACCCTTACTCTTGCCTCTTCCTCTATTCTCAACAACAAGAGCATGTGAATTATCAACTCCCATCTCCTTTCTTCTGATTTCTTCATTAAACATGCTATCTTTGATCACATCCAAAGATAACACACCATCTGGAGCAGAGTTACTAATAGTCACAACCAAGGTCTCCCAACTATCTGGCAAAGAACTCAACAAAAACAAAGCCTGCAGCTCATCATCAAGAGTAACTTTCATAGTAGTCAACTTGTTAATAATATCCTGAAAATCATTAAGATGCTCAGAAACAGACTTTCCATTTTTCAATTTCAAATTAACAAGTCTTTTAATCAATGAAGCTTTATTATGGGCGGTCTTCCTTTCATAAAGACCTTCTAACTTCTTCCACAACTCATAAGGGTCGGACTCTTGTGACACATGGTTGAATATGCTAATATCAACCCATTGCCTAATTGTCCCCAAAGTCTTCCTTTTCAACTTTTCCCAATCTTTAACTTCCATTTTATCCGGTTTAGATGGTTTAGAAACATTTCCATCTTTATCAGTGACAGAGTCAATAGGGTCAAACAAGTCCTTGCAATATAACAAGTCTTCCATCATAGGTCTCCAAATTGAATAATTAGTTGATGTCAATTTAACCATCGAGCTACTACTACTCGACTCCATAATGTGATTATATTAACCACGGCTCTGATACCAAGTTGTAGGGATCGGAAGAGGTCACTACGACTCTCACAAAATCACCAACTCAAGACAATCAACCAATAATTCAAACAAATCAACCCAAATTATTTCACAACCAAATAACCACACACACAACCAGCAATAATGCAGTAGCAAAATAACAATAGCACCAACAATAATAGGAAGAAAAGATAATAATCAACACACGAGACTTTTACGTGGAAAACCCCTTCGATGTGAAGGATAAAAAACCACGGGACCGTTAAGGAGTCCACCCTAACTTCTCTTATTGATAGTTGAGGGTAAAATAAACCCAAATCAGTCTACAAAAGGTTTATACACCCATCAACAACAACAAACAATAAGAGATGAAAATTAGAGAACAAGAGGAGTAGAAATCACCCAAAAACAGTGCTTCTGTCCAAGGACGATTCTGACCAAACTAGAGCTCAAACGACGATCTCCACCGTCCAAAATGAAGCCCTTGATGTCAGGAACAAGCTGTCAAAATTTGAGGATGATCCAACGGTTGAATTTCTGGCAACGGACAAATCTCTAAAGGCTGTCCAGAAAAATCCGAAAATGAAATACTCACTTTCTCTCTCTTTTGTGTGTTGTCATTTTTTGTGAATGAATTCCACTCCTCACTTCACTTGGCTGCTGCCCTAATCTCACAAAAATTTTACCCCAAAGCTTTCTAAGAAAGCCACCAAAAATAAGCCCAAAAAGACTTACTACAAACTAGCAAAATGTAATAAAATTTGACCAAGTAAAATGGGCCAAATACAAAATACATTTTACCACAAATTGGGCTGGACCCATAACACCATGGATATCACAGTCTCTCGAAAACCAATATACAAGCCTTATTTTCCTGAAGGATATGGTCCGATCATCAAGTTACCATACCTCGAACCAGACGAGTTCGTATCTAGGTTTGATCCAGGCGTACTAAGAGAAAGAATTTTTCATTTTTCGGTGAAGGCAATGTCGATGTTGAAAGCTAAGGCTAACAAAGAATGTGACAATGTTACTATATCCTCCTTTCAAGCCTTAGCTGCGTTTATATGGACGTCTATTACCCGTGTTAGAAATTTGGAACCGAGTATAAAGACTATTTGTTCGTATTCTTTAAATTGGCGTACTCGAATTACGCCTCCGTTCTCCCAAGAGTGTTTCGGGAATTACATTAAAGGAGTGCAATGTGCATCCAAGGTGGGCGACTTACTTGGGCTTGGTTTAGGCTCGACTGCGTTGTTGATTCGACAAAGTGTGGAGTCTATTGACGATACTGAAATTCGAAAACACCTTCATAATCTTGCTAAGGCTCCTTTTGTGGCGCAAACAGGCTCAAAATCTGCGTATTATGAGCCTAATGGAGTGTTGATTGCCGGGTCTGCAAAATTTGATATGTATGGTCCTGAATTTGGACTTGGTAAAGCAGTGGCTGTTTTAGCTGGGTATGCTAATAAGGATGATGGGAAGGTGACCTTGAACCCGGGCCGCGAAGGGGGAGGAAGTGTTGATGCAGATATAAGTCTTAAACCTGAGACGATGAATGCTCTTGAATCCGATGAGGAGTTTATGAGTTTTGTCTCGACAAAATGATGTAGACGGGATTTTGTCTCGTGTTTTATTTGATTATCTATCTTTCAATACTTTAATCCAACTTAATGAGTTGCATCTATGAGGTAACGATAATAAGAACAAAATATCATGAATACAATATTATTCCGTGTATTGTAGTAAGAAACAATTGTACTTGTAAAATACTCCGTAAAACACTTGCATGTACCAGGCTTTCTCACTACTCCGTATCTTTTAATGTGAAAACTGAAAAGTATTTTTATCATAAAAATAAACAATTTATTCTTGATATTTGAAAAAAAAAAATAATAAAAAAATTGTCTCGATGTGCCAGTGTGCCTAATTTATATCGACAAATCAAAGTGCTTTGGTGTAGTGACGGTAGTCTAAGTACTTTTGAGTTATTATTGTTGGGTTAAATGAAAGAGTAAAGTAGACGGTTGGGGTTAGTGAACTAGTGGACTTATAAGAAAGTCATTCCTTCCTCATTTCTTCCATTTGAGACTTGGGATGAACAACCCTAATAATTATTTTGAATTTTAGCAAATCTGTTCTTGATTTGCACATATCATTATGATGCTACCTCTATGTAAAGTTATAAATTTATTGATTTCATTAAAATTATTAAAATTATACTTTAGCCTTGTTTGTCACTGAGAGCTTAAGTAAGTTGTGTGTATGAGCTGGTTTGACTATAACTCTATAAAAATAATTATTTACATTAGTATATATATGATATATAAATGATAAATCAAATCTTTATAGTTTTGATGTCAATATATACTACTAATAGTACTCTATAACAACAATTTTATGAATTAATGCACAAGAAAAAATGGAGTTTTGATTAATTTCTCACAAATTCTATTGTTGTGCAATAATTAAGGAGTTACATTCCAAGGGAAATTTGAATAGGATGGTTTGATACAAATGAAGAGTTTTTCAATTAAACTAAACAATAATACATGGAGGTTAGATTAATGAAGAGTTTTTAAAGGAGACTAAATATTATAACAATGTGATGATGGAAGAGGGATGGCACATAGGATGACAAATAGCGCTCATGTGGCACCAAAATATATTAAAGAAAGGGTGACACATGATGATATCATGTTGTCCCATTGAATTTTAATAATATTATAGATATGCAATAATTTTAAACTACGCTCCAATTTAATTTCAATTTTAAGGAGGAAAATAGGGAGGAAGTGATTCCTCGTTTTCTGTAGCAGCCTAAGCACAAAACTAGAAACTTATTTTTATCATCCTTCTTCATTTTCATCCAAAAAATATAAGCATCCAACATTATGTTGAACTATTGTGAAGAAATTAGTCAAATTAAACTCATTTTTGCAGAATGTTTTGTTAGACCCAAAATAGAAGTTGAATCCTTAAAAATCAACTTAAGTATTTGGACCCAATTATTTTTTTTAGACCAAATGCAAAAAGACATCATTTTTCTTCTAAGCCCAATAATGTAAAATCTCCTATATTTCCCCCCCCCTTTTTTTTATCCTCTAGAAAATTGTTGTAATAAGGAGAAGAATATAGAAAATTCTTCTACTTACTAGTTTTAGTCAAATGGTCTCACCTTTTCCCCTATTGTTTCGATCAAATGGATCATCTTTGACGTTTATTAAGAGATTTATAAAATTATATTACTTCTATTTTGCTTCATTTTTATTGTTTAATAAGTCACAAGGATAATAGAAATTACGAGAGAAAGTGAGACATTTGGACAAATGGACACCTACAGCGTATTGCACTCCTCAGACTCTGAATGTTAATCACAAAGTCAAGGAGGGGGTTTAAAGGGAGTATTGGTATGCATAAACAATTGCATAACGAGGGGTAAAGGTGTAATTATACATATGTATATTCTAACTTTAGAGTAGTACTATTAAATAATCAATAGTACCATTGGATGATTAAATAATACCATTGAATATTCAATGGTACTATGTATGTATGTAGTGGTATTATATATATGCAATCAATATACTAACTATGTGCATATATAGTATCACTAATTAACCAATGGTATTATATAAGCTTTCTGGTACAATTAAAAGTGATCCCACTCACCTTTCTCTCTCCTCTTTTCTCTCTTTCTCATGTGATTTTTAATATTTTAGTATTTGTTATGCATTTGTAAATGCATAACAATACTGCATTAGTATTTCCTCCAAAGTCAAAGACCTTTGGTGTTTTTTTCTTCACTTTTTTAATACATTGGAAATTGGTCATTATCTCACCTACCACAACCTTAATCCTCTTGACAAATCAAATAATTAATCATAGAACTAGCTTAATTGCTGCTAAAATCAAATATGGTGGACTCAAATCATCAACAAATAAAAGTAGTTTCAGAATGTTTTATCAAACCCAAATATGAAGTTGAAGCTTCAAAACAACCACATTACTTAGCCCCAGATGATCTAATATTCTTACCATTAGACCATATGCAAAAGGGTCTACTTTTCCTTGGTAAACCACAAAACATACAATCACATCTTTTGGACAAGCTCAAAATTTCATTATCTCAATCTCTTGTTCATTTCTACCCTTTAGCAGGTCAACTTGCTACCCAAAAGTTCCATGATGAACATGCCATATGGGTCTATGTCGACTGCACCACCGGTCCTGGAGCTCGCCTCATCCATGCTGTTGTCAACACCAACTCAACTGTATCCGATCTCCTTTCCTTCACCGACATACATCCGATTGTACCTTGCTTGTTTGATCTCGGTGAGAAAGCCGTTAACCATGATGGTCACACCAGGCCATTGTTGTCGATCCAGGTAACCGAGCTACTCGACGGGGTTTTCATTGGTTTTACCATGAATCATAGTGTAGCGGATGGGACCTCTTTGTGGCATTTCATCTCGACCTTGTCCGAGATATTTTTAGAATTGAAGGATGAAAATCACAGCAATAATGTCACTAACAACGAAGCTACCAAGTTCCAATCAGGTATATCTTCAATTTGTCGTGGATCTTTATTTAATTTGTTTAGTTAATCACTCTGATCAGTAAGAACATGTTCATGTATTGTTATCTTGGCCGAAAATGTAGTTTAGGAGGGACCAAGATTCGAATCTCAAACCTCTTAATTGACTTAAAACTACTTCGTAATATGTACGTACTCTATAAGTCCATAACTATTTTTGTTACTACCCGTAGTTGTTAAGCCCTTGCCTTATTGTCCCATCTTTTCTTTTTTTTTTTGAAATATTATTGTCCCATCCAGTTGTTTATATGAATCATATCATACAAAAAAGTTACGAAATACATAATGCTAGTAATAATCACTATATCTCAATATTTTATAAGTAAAAATGAGTTAAAGTTTGTTAAAATTAATTTATTTATCAAAATAGTTTATAAGGAGTCAGCCCCACTTGGTTTAGGTGAAAGGTCCCCTTTGGCCTTTAGTTTTGTGCCTTTAGAGTTTAATGTTTTGGAAGCTATGTGTGATAATCCATCATGTGGCTCATATATATTCCTAAAAGAGTATCACACATTGATTTTGATTTTGAGATGCTAAAGGTCACATCAGATTGTGATAATTTTTGAAGCACTGATTCATTCATTATTGAAGATATATGTTGATAGAAGATGTTTTTAGTCTCTCTTGTAATCATGTTAAAAGAAGTGGGAACGATATGGCACATCTAGTTGCTAGATTAGTTCGTGTTAAAGTATCATTTCAATCAAAAGCTTATTAAGCTGATGTTTGAAACCCAAAAATATGTTTTATATTCTATCAGTTCTTTTTAATTAATGGGGACATAGGGTAGAGGAAATGTTTTTAATCTCTTTTCCGCAAGGTGTTATAACCTTGGCATGCCGTAATATTAATCCGACTATTGAATGCAGATTTGTCCAATAATATCGTAGTCTCTCGAAAACCAATATTTTGCAAGCCTTTGCTCCCCGAAGGGTATGGTCCGATCATCAAGTTACCATACCTCGAACCAGATGAGTTCGTATCTAGGTTTGATCCAGGCGTACTTAGAGAAAGAATATTCCATATTTCATCTAAGGCAATGTCGATGTTAAAAGCTAAGGCTAACGAAGAATGCGAAAATATTAATGATCACAATGTTATATCCTCCTTCCAAGCCTTATCTGCGTTTATATGGATATCCATTACCCGTGTTAGAAATTTGGAACCAAGTTTAATGACTATATGTCCGTTTCCTTTAAATTGGCGGGCTCGAATTACGCCCCCTTTATCCCAAGAGTGCTTCGGGAATTACGTTGAAGGATTGCAATGTGCTTCCAAGGTAGGCGACCTACTCGGCCATGGGTTGGGTTCGGCTGCATTGTTGATTCAACGAAGTGTAGAGGCTCTAGATGATAGTAAAATCCGACAACGCCTTTGTAGTTATGTTAAGGCTCCTTTCTTGGCAAAAACAGGCTCTACATATTATGAGCCAAATGGCGTGTTATTAGGCGGGTCTGCTAAATTTGATATGTATGGTCCCGAATTTGGGCTTGGTAAAGCAGTGGCTGTTTTAGCTGGGTACTCTAACAAGGCTGATGGGAAGGTAACCGTGAACCCGGGGCGCGAAGGAGGAGGAAGTGTAGATTTAGAGATATGTCTTAAACCGGAGACAATGAATGCTCTTGAATCCGATGAAGAGTTTATGAGTTTTGTCTCGGTAAATTGATGTACATGAAATTTGATTACAATTTTTTAATATTCATCTCCCAAAACTTTAATTGTTTTTTTTTTTCCTTAATTGTGTTTTTATTTGGAAAGTCAATTATTTATAAATTATCTTGAAAATAAATCTTAAATTTCTTTCTATATTAGCGCTTGAATTATAATAATAACAATATTTTCTTTACAGAGGAAGTTTACAAACAAACTGATTTTAGTCGCATATCGAAGTTATTAATAGTCAAATATACAAGATTGTACAAAATCCAAGTGAATCAAGTTTCTAGAAAGCAATGATGTACATACATTTAATTATTGAAATTAATTAAATACGACAACATAATTACATTTTAAAATTATTTTTTTATTGAATGTAGATAACAAGAAATTTATTGAAATTAATTAAATGCGACAACATAATTACATTTTTATATTATTTTTTATTGAACATAGATAACAAGAAATCACGAATTATATTTTTTAAGTCTTTAATTCCTATATATCTGAACGTTGTCTTATTAGCTGTGTCCTTGACTAAATGATCTAACTAGTAGGGGTGAAAGTTCGGTATTCGGTTTGGATTATACCCCAAACCGAATCCAAACCGAATTATTTCGGTTTCTGATTCTTGGAACCGAATCCAAACCGAATTTGGATTCAATCCAATCCAATCCAAACCGAAATAATTCGGTTTTGAAAAATGGATCCAATCCAAACCGAATTTTTTTGGGCTGTTGATTTGGGCCTTAAAATTGGGCTTTTAATCGGAAGTTTGTTTTGGCCCTTTTGTAGGCCTAAATTGGTGAATTACAATGGTTGGTCTTTAAGCCAAAAATTTGCCAAATTAAGGGAAAATCATAATAAAAAAATTTGTCCAGCCACTAGAATAAAATTACAAACACGATAAAAGTCTTAAAATGGAATAACAGTCTACAATGAGTCTACATGCAGCTAAAACCATAATAACATCAACTAAAATCAATATGGTAGATTGACAGCAGCTAGAATCAACATGGCAGGCAGCAGCTTCTTCATTTCTTCAACATGGCAGCTTCAAACAATCAAGCTCAACGATATCTAACAATAAAAAAAATAAACATGTTACATAATATATATAAATAAATCAAAGGAAATCAATATAATCAAACAAACAAAACATCAATGTCGCCAATTTAAACATTATAGCATATCAATGTCATCATATTAGCAAATTTCGAACAGATCGAACAACAAATTAACGAATTCAAACAGAACAGAACTATTGAATGAAAACTTGAAAAGAGAAGTGGGAAATGAGTACACATCTAAGAAGAAGAAAAGCAGGAAAAGATAAGTGAAATTAACAGAACGAAAGTGAAATTAATAAGAAGAAGAGAAGCAAAAAAGGAGAATTCTTACCCTTGAGTGACTGAGTGAGAGGAGATAGTGAGGGAACGCGAACACGAGCGGCGCCGCGGCGGTGAACTGGTGGTAATTTTAGGGAGCACAAAACCACGAACACAAGCGGCGGTGAGAAACGAGATCTGCGGGAGCACGAAGCCACGAACACAAGCGAACTGATGGTGATAGACGTTGACCGGATATGTGGTGAGCGGACTGAGGAAGGTGGTGGTCGGAGCTACTGAGGTGGTGAGGGAGAAAATGGGGAAATTTTGGAGGATTAGGGTTTGGTGAGGAATGTGCCGCAGAAGAGGGGAAAAAAAGACTGGGATAAGAGAGGAGTATTTTAGGGCTTTAGTATATATATGTAGGGTAGGAGAAATGGGCTGGGATATTTGGGCTTCATAAATTTCGGTTTGGATTTTCGGTTTTCGGTTTTTGGAAGCCCAAAACCGAATCCAAACCGAAATATTTCGGTTTTGATTTTTTTAAACCGATCCAAACCGAAAACCGAAAAAAAACCGATCCGAATTGCTATTTCGGTTCGGTTTGGATCGGTTTTCGGTTTTTATCCAAATTACTTTCACCCCTACTAACTAGATCTAATTATTCTGTTGTATTATTATGCCGCGTTGATTAATGTTTTCATACTATTGTATTAATCATCGTCGGTTGGCAAATTGAGAAACAAAAGTTGATTCGGAGTAATAATTTCTACTAGTATATAACGTGAAAATTTCAGCACAATAGAAAGATGAAACCATGAAATATATCGTATTTATTTCATTCTTCTAAATCTTATGAGCATAGTTTATTTAGCTTAACTTTACATGGCAAAAATCAAACTCATTTCAGAATGCTTTATTAAGCCAAAATATGAGGTTGAAGCTGCTAAACAACCTTATCACTTGTCACCTAAGGATTTAGCCTTATTATCACTTGATCCTATACAAAAAGGCCTTCTCTTTACCCTTAATAACCCACCTTATACTGATCATGTTTATGGTCGAATCGAAGTCGTGTCTCATCTATTGGAGAGGCTTAAACACTCACTATCTATTGCCCTCGTTCATTTCTACCCGTTAGCGGGACGTTTTGTTACATGTCAATACCCCGACGAGCACGCATGTTCGGTCTACATCGATTGCAACAAAGGCCCGGGAGCAAGGCTCATTCATGCTACCGTGCTAGATGTTAGTGTTTCTGATATTATATCTTCAATTGATGTTCCAACTATTGTTTCATCTTTCTTTGAGGTTGGTCAAAATATGGTTAATTATGATGGTCATACAAGGGCTTTATTGTCAATTCAACTAACGGAACTCCTTGATGGGGTGTTTATGGGGTTTTCTATAAGTCATAGTGTTGTCGATGGTACTTCTTTTATTCATTTTGTAAGTATGTTGTCAGAAATTTTTAGGTCAAATAATGAGCATATTAGCGATACAATAAAAATCTCACGCACACCCATCTTTAATTATAATCCATGTATAAAAAACGGGAATAATAACCAAAATGGTACGATTTTTAAGTTGCCTCATCTAGAGCCAGAGGAATTCATAACCCATGGATGATGGATATGATGCCGGCCCGCTAAGGCAACGGATCTTTCACTTCTCTTATAAATTGTTGGCATCTCTAAAAGCCAAGGCTAATCAAGAATGCAAAGGGGACAATGTCATATCCTCATTCCAAGCTTTAACTGCTCTTGTTTGGAGGTCCATCACCCGAGCTCGAAACCAAACAACAGATCAATTAACCTCTTGTATCATTATACTTAACACTAGGACTCGGTTAAACCCACTTTTATCTGATGATTACTTCGGAAATTTTGTTACCAAAGCCAAATGTGAATGTACTGTAGATGAGTTGTTGGGCCACAGTTTGGGTTGGGCTGCAAAGAATTTAAAGGAAGCCATTTTGGCCCATAATGAACAACGAATACTTGATTTATGGAATCCCACTAAGGCCCTAGAAGTGAATCGTCGCGGCCCAACTGGAGACAATAATGGGCCAGAAAGTATCATCGTAGGTGGGTCAGGAAGGTTTGATATGTATGGGCCTGAATTTGGGCTGGGCCGTGCTTTGGGTATTCGCATGGGCTGCGCAAATAAGAAAGATGGAAAGGTGACTGTAAACCCAGGGTATGGAGGAGGAAGTATGGATTGGGAAATTTCTTTAAGGCCTCATTTTATGGCTGCCCTTGAATCTGATTTCGAGTTTATGAGTTTTGTATCACTTTGATGTACTATTGTTACTTTTATGCATTTTTAATTTTTTATATTATCCTTTCTTGTAAGGTAAGGAAAACGTCTCTTATCTTTTTTAGGAGTGCAGTAACATTAAGCAGTGGTCATGTGTATACATTCGTCGAGCTAATAAAGTTGGGAGTTGTTTTAAAATGTAAATATTGTTGCGGAGTATGTCCAAATATAATCACAAAAATTAACAACTAAAAGTGAGGATTTAGTTAAAATAAGTACACTATTAAAAATATAGGCTGAATACAATCATACACCACTCTTATTAGCCTTACCCTTAGTTTAATGACTAGATCTAATACAATGTTGACAAAAAAATTCATATTATTGTAAACGTTGTCGTCAGTTGACCGGTAGAATTATTGTTTTATTTTAATTTAAAAAAAATAAAGATTCTGAACGGAAAGAGATGGGTGAAAATTAAAAAAAAAATAATAATAATAGGATCCAAGCTAGAGTGTAACAACTAAATTAAAATAAATATAAACGTAAATAAAAATGTAACAACTTCTATATATAATACTCCATATTATACTATAGCAAAAACCCACCAAAAACAAGTACTATCCAGAACTTAAATAATTTGAGCTCAACTACTATGGCAGAAATCAAAGTCATCTCAGAAAGCTTTGTAAAACCAAGATATGAAGTTGAATCTTCAAAACATCCTTACCATTTATCACCTATTGATATTGTCTTGTTTGATTTTTATGGGCCTAAAATTGGGCTGGGCCGTGCTTTGGATGCTGACATGGGCTACACAATTTAATACTACGTAAGATAGAAAGGTGACCTCAAATTCCGGCTATGAAAGGAAAGGGAGTCTTGAATCTAGTTTGGATTTTGTGAGTTTTGTGCCATTTATTTGATGTGATACTTTTGTAATTAAAATTAATAATTTTTTGAAGTCTAGATGATTGATGTAATTAAGATAAGGATAGAGGAACTTCTTCTACATATTAGTTTTAGTCAAGTAAATGGTTCGCCTTTTTTCTTTTTGTTTTGATTAATACATCATCTTTGAAGTTTCTATTTTTAAAGACTTATAAAATTGTGCTACTCCCTTAGTTTCCTTACATTGTTGTGCTTTAGTGTAAAAAAGCTAGTTCTCGTAGACTCGTTCTCTCATAGTAGGTTTTGTTTTGTGGCAAAAATATAGTGAAATTGTATTTTCTATTTTTCACCCAGACCCTACCACAAAAGTAGATGTTTACTTCTTAAAAAATTTGATATTTGTAGGTGGTAATACCTAAATAAAAGCAAGTATAATACTTTCTCCGTTTATTTTTATACTTACAACAGTTTGATTTTTACACAATTCACTTGCTTCACTTTGAATACCGTTGATGATTTATAGTTAAGAAAAAATTAAATCATGTGTAAACTTATTAGATTCATCTCAATTTATTACAATTTTAATATTAATTTTTTATAATTTTTACATATTGGTAATTAAAGATATTAGCAATTGAAATAATGCATCGGCAAGCATGATAAGAGAAGTGTTGCAGGTAAAAAAAACTGAGGGAGTAATTCAAGATATTTTACACTATTCACACACTTCACTTCAGTTACATACAAGTATAAGAGATCTTATTAGATTCACTTCAATTACATTTACTCCCTCAATTTCTTTTTAGTTGCATTACTTAACTAAAACGGAAATTTCAAATCAGTAATTTTACATCACTTACTTTTTAAGTTAATAAACTTTCTGTATCCCTCTCCTATTACACATCACTTACTTTTTAAGTTAATAAACTTTTTGTATCCCTCTCCTATTACATGGATCTATTTTTTTTATTCTTTTTATCTCTTTCATCAATAAAAATTGCATAGGAATCCGCAATCTGCAAAGTGATGCAACTAAGAAAACGCAGGGAAATATAAGATCTTGTTACATTTATTTATTTCTTACAATTTTTACTAATGTAAACTTAAAGGTTACACCGTACGTATTAACAATTGAAGTTATGCATTGTAATTTGTAACTACTCTTTGTTATAAAACAATGGTGGGTATAAGTGTATAACTATATAAGGTATAAGTGAAAGTGCGACTTAAATGACAAATGTTAAAAAAAATGTAACAATCAACTCCATATATACTTGTATATAACGGTGCGAAAGTAATTAATAAGCCTAACAAACCCAAACCCACCAAAAACAAGTACAACACTTGAACAATTTGTTCTCAGCTTCTATGGCTGGAATAATACTCATCTCAGAAAGCTTCATCAAACCAAAATATGAAGTTAAAGCTTCAAAACTTCCTTACCATTTATCACCTATTGAGATTGCCATGTTATCCATTGATCCCATACAAAAAGGTCTCCTTTTTACCCTTAATAATAATACACCATCTAAAGATCGAACCAAAGTAGTCTCTTGCTTGCTAGAGAAGCTCAAACATTCACTCTCTATCGCCCTCGTTCATTTCTATTTATTAGCGGGTCGTCTTGCTACGCGAAAGTTCCCTGACGAGCACGCTTGTTCGATATACGTTGATTGCAACAAAGGCCCCGGAGCAAGGCTCATCCATGCAACCACCCATTTGAAAGACGTTAAGGTTTCTGATATTATATCTTCAACTGATGTAAACAAAATTGTTCATTCTTTCTTTGAACTCGGCGAAAAAATAGTTAATCATGATGGGCATACGAGGGCTTTGTTATCGATCCAAGTCACAGAACTCCTAGATGGTGTGTTTATAGGGTTTACTATGAACCATAGTGTAGTTGATGGTACATCTTTTACCCATTTTGTTAGCATGTTGGCAGAAATTTTTAGATCCGATGGTCATGCCACAAAAATATCTCGTGTTCCCATATTTAATAATAAGCCTTGGATAAATAATTATGTTAATCCGAATGACGCGCTCAAGCTACCGTATCTAGAGCCGGAGGAGTTCATGGAACACGGGTATGAACCCGGTCCATTAAGGGAGCGAATCTTTCACTTCTCATCTGCATCATTGATAGCACTCAAGGCAAAAGCTAACCAGGAATGTGAAACGCACACCAGCATATCCACATTTCAAGCCTTAAGTGCTCTTGTGTGGAGATCCATTACCCGAGCACGAAATTTGTCATCGAATCAATCAATTAGTTGTTCCATTTTAGTCAATGGAAGAAATAGACTGGATCCACCTCTATCAGAAGAAAACTTTGGAAATATAATATCAGTAGCCCAATTTGTTTGTAGCGTGGAAGAACTAATGGGCCATGATTTGGGTTGGGCTTCTTTTGAATTTGCACAAAACTATCTATAATTGGTATACACTAGACCCTAGTGTAGGTAGGGATACCTACACCCCCCTCTAAACGATGCGTTTATCATGTTACCCACATCCCATAACCCACTAACCTACTGTAACTACCTACCATTCTCTCTAAAACCTTCTTCTTCATTTCTCTAGACTTTCTCTCTCATCAAAACTAGAAAATATGAACCAAAATTGCTTCAAAATACTACAAAATTGCTTCAAAATACTACGAAATTGCTTCAAAATATTGCTAAATTCCTTCAAATGTCTACATTTGCGAAGAAATTCAACAATCGCAACAACATTCACAGAAAGAGTAAGTAATTTTACTAATTTTTTTTGTATGAACCTATTTTTTCTACTACGTATTTCATTTTGAAATTACATGTTCAGAAACATAATCTAACTTGATTAGAACTATTTTATGCAAAAATCATTAAAATCTACTATGTTTTGTGTTTTTTTTATTTTTTACAGAACCGAAAAATATATTTCGAATTAGAGAGATAAAGAGAATGATGATTCAGAGAAGAATCATGTTCGTTGAACATAACAAGGCATAGTCTGAAGAAACGTAAGTATTATTTCAAAAACCTATTTAAACAAGAGTAGAAATTTTTTTTTAAAAAAAAACAACGAACAAAAGTCTCAAGTTGTAGATCTAGAACTTTTAAAAGATATTAAAAAGTCTTATGGTATAGATGTTAACATTTCTACGATTCCGAGTTAATATATGAACATATATAGAATTATAAATGTTCATTTGTATATTTGAATTTATTTGAGTTTATATTTGACTTTATATGCCTAAATAAATAATGTTCATTTTTATGATATGTTATGCACATTTATGAAATGCATAAATAATCATTCATTTGAGTTGAGAAACTGACTTATTTATTCTATCAAATCTTTTGATCATTTATGAAATTCATAATGTTCATTTACATATAAAGTAATGTTCATTTTAAAATATATGTTAATATTGGTTCATTTCAGTTTACATATATATTTATATGCCTAAATAACGAATGTTCATTTCTTTTATACATTATCCTCATGTATAATATTGAGAATGTTCATTTGTATGCATTAAAACTAATATCTTACAACCAATCTAGCTATATTGTAGTGATGTCCAAAGTTACACATTTGATATAAATTTGCACATGGAATTGAAGAATACGTAGTTGTTTTGGAGAAGATAAAATGGCTTAACAACGCTGATTATACAAACTGCGGAGTATAAATTATGAAGCATATAGAAACATTCACTACTAAACTTAATGAGAGTTAGATTTGTGATTTGAAACCAAATAGTGTAAAAGTGATAAATGTTCATTAATGTAAGATATATTGTTCATTTATAAAGTAGTGTATATAATAATTAACATTTGTTAATTCATTTTGTTCAACAGGTGAACCAAATTAGGAAGCAAGGATGCGGAACTGATGCTATTTGAAGAAAAACACTAAATATAGGTTAAATCGAAGATAAGCAAGGAAGTTTGCAAATGAATAGTACATGTTATATGTTCATTTATGAAAGTGTATATGTTCATTAATGAATGTGTATATGATCATATCTTAAACTTCCTCCATTTCTTTTTACTTGCAACACAGCCTTGTGGCACGTGTTTTGAGGTCGGGTTTATATAATGTAAACGGATAAATTATTCATTATAATTTTTACAAATGATACTTAACCCTATTCTAATCTTCGTGTAAAAATTATATTGATAAAATAGCTCGTTTACCCTCACTAATCATCTCCTAAAATTGCGTGCCTAAAAGGTGTGTTGCAAGTAAAAGAAAACGGAGGAAGTATATAGTTTTATAGATGATTTTTTTTGGAGGAAAATAGACTTATAGATATTATTTGTTAAAAAAATTATTGTAATTGATATTTCATTTTAATCTTTATTTGTATGAAAAAATATATATAATTTTTAGGTTTTATGAATTGGTTGTTGGTTCTTTACTTTTGTTCATTTTCAAATTGATAAATAATCATTTACATATGTTGAATTTTAAAAAAACAATATACTAAAAAAGGTACTATATAGAAACAAATTCTTATGTCTTTAACACTTGAAGAACTTTGAACAAGAGCACCTTGATCATTTATTGGAACCGTGGGAGGAATAACTTAAACATTTGTCGATTGAACATTTCTGGAATGGGGTTTAAACATTTCTAGATTGAAGTTTGAACAATCCTGAGTTGAAGTTGGAACAATGCCAAGAACTACGGGTGGAACAAAATATCTAGTTTGAGATTTTGTAGACGCATTAGTACTCTTGGATTAACTTGAGCATCATTTTTAACACCAGCACCACCTTTATTTATAGGAACATTACATTGAGCTTGAGCAGCAGAAACACCAGCAACACTTTTATTTATAGGAATATTTAAATCCTTCGACTGCAAAACAAATTAAATGATCATATTAAAATATATAAATGTTCAATTACAAACACTTAAATAAACAAATAAGAAAAACAAAACTTTAGCAAGATATGAAATATCAGCTTTTTTTCCCACTGCACAAAGTTTTAATATACAATTATAAATGAACATAACAAGTTTCAAAAAATGATCATATTAAATCCTTTAAACACTAAATCCTTCGCCTTCAAATAAAAGTTAAATGATCATATTAAAATATATAAATGTTCAATTTCAAACACTTAAATAAACAGATAAGATCAAAACCTTAGCAAGATATGAAATATCAGTTTTTTTTCTCATTGCACAAAGTTTTAATGTACAATTATAAATGAACATAACATGTTTCAAAAATGAACAATAATTAACAAATACAATGTTCAATAGCAAAATTGCACATGATCAATATGGAAAATTTTGACACATAATATTATCAAGAAAAAATGGTAAAAACAAATAATCATATATGACATAAAAAAATTAAGAAGTACAAATGATAACACATAATTGATTAATTTTAAATATAAAAATGATCCAAAAAAAAAAAAAAAAAGCATAAAAACAAAATCACGCAATTTTCAAACATAGAGCAATGAAATAAATTGAAGCAGCGAAATATTCATAACAAAGTATGAACAATCCAAAAACGTTCATCATAATCATAATCAAATTTTGAAAATTGAAGCAACGAAAAGAATAATAATACATAAATTAAGTTGAAATAAACAGAGCATTATAACACAACAATGTATTGATGATAAAAATTACAAAATTATGATTGTAATTACTCACATTGTTGATGAACAAACGAATCAATCAATCGAACTCTAGAAGACGGAAACACACTTTCGTAATCACGATCGAAATTAGCAGAGGAAGAATCAGCCATTGACGATCAACAACAATTATCAAAATCGTAGGAAAAATAAACGGCAAAATTAGTATAAAATCAAATGAAGAAGATGAATTAACTAGAGAGAATGTAGGTAGAAAAATGGAAATTGATCAATTGAGGAGAGAGAAAATATTGGGTTTAAAATCATTTATATACATAGCTTGAATAATAAGAAACAAGGAATTAAAAAAATAAATAAAAAAAAGGAAAGAATTGAAGCATGAATTAGCTCGTGAGTACTCCCCGCAAGCTACAAAATGGCGTAGCATCAGGGGGTGTAGGTAGACCATCCTACACTAGGATGTAGGGTATAATTTTCAAACTATCGTGGCCCATGATGGAAAAGCAATACTGGACCTTCATAAAGTATTTTCTGATAACCCAATAGTATATGGGCGCCAAGCAACGTCGGACTTTCATGGGCCGAACAGAGTAATTATAGGTGGATCAATGAGATTTGATATGTTTGGGCCTGAATTTGGATTGGGCCGGGCTGTTGCCGCTCGCATGGGCTATGTAAACAAAGAAGATGGTAAGGTGACTGCAAACCCAGGATGTGAAGGTGGTGGAAGTGTTGATTTGGAAATTTGCTTTAGACCTAATTATATGGCTACTCTTGAAACTGATTCAGAATTCATGAATTATGTGTCACTTGATTGAGGAAGTAATGGTTTGTAGTCAAAATCCTTTATTATAGTTCATTTTAACTCTTTTAATTCAATGAAAATGCAATTTGAAGTGAAGGAGCTACGAAGTGTATGATAAATTTACAAATATTGCAATTATAAACTAATTAAGCTACAAGATCATGTTGCAATAATTATACCGAGAATTTTTCTAAATTATTTATACTAAGTATTATATGAGTACGATGAGATGAATTTAAGTTATTAGCCCTTTAATACTTTAGTTATTAACTTTTAAAAACCTTATAAAACAAAATAAATAAATAAATAAATAAATAAATAAATAATAATAATAATAATAAATATTAAATAAATAAATAAAGAAAAAAAACTCTCTAATCTCTCTCTTCAAACCTAGCCTCCATAGTAAAACTTAGGGGCTATCATCGATTTTATCAATGGTAAGCCCCAAATTCTTCTTCAATTTAATGTTTTTAGCTTATAAAGATCACCAATAGTATAGTGATTATAGTCGGTTTCTCCATGTAGGATTTAGTCGGTTCCCTAATAGTGGAATTTTTAGTATTGTTTGTTTGTTTGTTTTTCGGGTGTGTCGGGATACAATTTTAGATTTGTGGCCAACCGGCTATATAGCTATTCAAATAAAGTTTGTCAACAAAGATTTTAAAATGTGGAACCGTGAAAAGTTTATATTGTGGACACTATGGTAGTCTGGTTGATAATGACACAAAGGCTTTGATTGGGTACTCTCTCTGCCTCTAAACAATGAGTTTATTTCTTTTTTTATGGTTAAATTTTAAGAACTTTTACTCAATATGTCTTTATTAGTTTACCCCATATTTTATTTTGAGATGTCCTTTAAGGATTGTCCGTTTTCATAATATAGTAACATGTCCCTACCACTAAACCCACTTGCACATACTTGTAAAAGTGAAAAAAAAAAACAAATACACTCTTATCCACTTACAATCTTTTGGTTTAATCCTTAATAAAGCATATTTTGCCTATGGGACAAACAGATAGGGATAGAGGAAATATTAAGTATTCTTATTATTGTTGAATTAATCTCACTGTATACTTTTACCATATCAAAATTTATATTTTTTGTCAATTACAATAATATCAAATTTATGATTTTTGTCGATATATAAACAATTTGAAACGGAGGGAGTATTAATTTCTTGATTATTAATGATTGAGTCTCCGCCCCTTAATATGATGTTTGCTTCTCAATTTCACAGTAAATGATAGACAGTAGTGCGTACTCTAAAATTTAATAAAGAAAATTAATAAATACACCCAAAATGTATATCTTTTCTAAGGGGAGGAAAGGCAACACAAATCTATATGAGGTTATTACTAAAATTAGTGTTCCAGCCTGGTGTTAAACTTTAATTGATATATGAGGTTATTACTACTTAATTAGTTTTATGTACGCATGTAGTGAATCAAATGTTAGTTGAATCTAAAACATGTTTTTTGAGTAAGAGTAAAGTATGATGAGTTGAACTAGGATCCTTAAACAAAAGCTTCATTTCTCCCAAATTCTGTCTTTATTTCTCACCTTTTGTTTTTTTTTTTTTCTAGATCTATCACTCTATATTTTTCTCACTTCTCATAAAAATAATAAATCATTCACATCATGCTCCTTTTGTATTAAACTTTAATAATCAACAATATTCAGTACATTCATTTCGTTTATTGTACCAAAGTGTGGTTAGGTACATAATTTGCCGTGATTCTAAATCAACCACGTGTTCACGTTATGACTACTACTTTATTAGGTTGATGACATGAGCGCAAACGCAACCCATTAATACGAACCAGTAAAACGAACCTAGTCTGATTTGCTGCCTACCTTCACACCCATTAATACAGTATTCATTTATTTAATTATTTTATGTGGTCTAAAATTGTTGAGATTTTATTATTGGTCCAAAATTGCTGAGATTTGGGATTTGGCCGTTTGAAAGTGATTAGCTTTTTTTACTATTCAATCCAGTGCTTTTCACAGGCTAGGTTTTGGATTTGGCAGGAACCTTCTTTTATTTTGACGTTATGGAGAATTAGAGGCTCCTCTAGAAGAAGCTCTATATAACCGTGTTTATTTACAACTCTCACCGTCTTTGGCTTCAGTGGTCGTTCTTGACCGAAAATATTAGAGGGGTCGGGATTTAATATTTTACCACTTGCTCAAAATTAATTACTATGCCCCAATACTTTATAAGTAAATTTAGGTTATTTAAGTTCATTAACTAATTAATTACAATAATTTACTGAGAGCTAGTGCTGAATGGCCCGGTGGAAGGTCCCTCTGTTTGGCTTAGCTTCCTACGGAGTATAATATACTCTACTCTGTAGTTTGTTTTATTTTACACGGTTTTTAAACTAATATATACGGATTTTTCACCATATACCACTAAGTTAATGCATAATTCACCATATACCACACGAAGCTTTCTAATACACCAAATACCACTGAGTTTTTGGTAAATGTCACAACATGACCTTTCCGTTAACTCAGTTAGTCATTAACGTTAATTGTGCCACGTGGCAGCTTGTAGTTGGTTCTTATTAATATTATTTATTTAATTAATTAACTTTAGAAAAATTATTTTAAAAAATAAAATAAAAATTAAACACCACCAACTTAGCCACCGCCGCCCCCAGCCCAACCCTGACCCCCACCTCGGCTAGCTAGCCGGCGACCATCCCCCCCCCCCCCCCCCGTCGGCGACATTCTCAACCTCTTTTCCTGACGTCGGCAACCATCCCACTCCTACTCCCCTTCCTCGAAAACCATCCCCCACCTGTGACCCCTCCCCTGCCGGAAGCTTCCCCAATTCTTGAGAGCTCTTTCCTAAATTAATGTCAAGAAGTACCGCAATTCCCAAATTACAGCCACTTCTTTTTATTTTCCATTCTACCGTCCACATAAGCATTGGTTAAGAAACCGTTTTTTTTTTCCGGTCTAGAGTAAACCGCTACTTCAAGTAGCGGTGTCTTTATAAAAAACCGCTACTTCAAGTAGCGATTTTTTATAAAAAACCGCTACTTGAAGTAGCGGTTTTTATTGTGAATTTTTTTTTTCAAACTTAAATAATCTTTCCAAAAAAAACCTGCAAGTGTACCTGTAAAACATATATATAGCATATTTTCAGCACAACCACCACAAATAACAAGTTTATGAAGATCCAAGGAAGTCCAAATTGCAAAGTCGAATATATTTCAATTGATTAAATATAACAAAATCCAATTCTAAGCATTTACAAAAAAATGAGTTTAGTTCCAAAATATACATCTAGCTTGGGCGTTGCTTCTTCCCATGAGGTGACGATGAAGATAATGCAGCTGTCTCCTCCTCTGGAATGTCATCCAGGCCAACTCCAACTCCATGAGACACAGTGTTGCTACGCCGTCGGTTTCTCTGATACTGGCGATGCACCAGTGGAAGAGATGTGATGATAGTATGCTGAGAAGGAGGAGGATCATGCAAGGGAGGGCGAATGTGAGTCGGTGGACGAAAGGCATGTGCTGAATGGCCTCCACGATGAGGTGGTGGTCTGATCGGCCTAGTGTGCACAGTAGAAGATAAAGACGTGGACGGTCGAGGCTGCTGAATAAGGTATGACTGCCCCACCCTAGACAAGGTCTGCCCACAGAATGATGTAAGACCCTGCATCGTCTGTATGGCAAATGGTGGAGCCGTCTCCGGTGACAAATGGGAGATGGTCTCAGTAGCTCCTGATAGCTGGACGTGCAAATCAGCAAATGCATGTGCCTACATTGAAGTGTAGTTTTAATGTTAGTAAAATAAAATCAAAAACGAAAGAACTAGATTGAAATGAAATGAAGTTCATACAAGTAGTAGGTCAGAGGTAGATGGCTGGTAATGACTCGGGGGGCGCTCCTGCGACGGTGGAGTAATGACCAGTCTCGTGATGCGACGGTACCAAGCTGTGTACTCTGTCATGGCCGGGGAAGAAGTCCCAGTGAACGGGTATCCCTAGACAACTAAGGCCTCTCGTCGACTCCACTCGTGTACATGGTCCGAATGCCGAATCTCCCAATTACGCTGTCCCCTTCGATCCTTCTTGTGTAAAGCAACGTCCGTGTCTATTGCCTGTGGGATGTTGATGATTTAGAGTGTCGGAGTGGAGCAGTCGCTCTACGGAATCGCGCTCGCGCCAGCTAGGCGCGACCCGCGACAAAACCGCGCATTAACCGCGATGAGTTTTAAGAAAATCTGGAAAAGTTTGGAGGCGCGCCCGCGTCATGGCATGGCGAGACCCGCGCCTAAACCGTGCATAAATCGCGCTAACTTTCTGGAAAAATCGAATTTTTAGGCAAAGAAGGAGGCGCGCCCACGCGGGCTGGTGGCGCGCTCGCGCCCGCGCTTATTGCCATTTTGCGGTTACGACGGTTGATTCTATTTTATATAGAAGGAGTTTTTCGAAAGCAAGAATACAGAACATTATTCTCTCATCTTCTCCCCAAGAATTCTCCATTTTTCTCTAAATTTTCTTGCAAACTATTTTGAGAAAACCTCTTGATTCTAGCCTTTCTTGTGAATCATCCATCGGTTTTCGATTCTTTGTGCTAATAACGGAAAGTGCTGTCAATTTTATCTCAAAGGAAATTTCCGGATTAACCCTAGCACCGTGTGGGGGAAATTAATCCCTTTAGGAAAGTATTCATACGCCTTTGACAGTGTATCAATATCATAGTCTCAAGGGACGTTGCAATTCTCATGTTCATGTTTGGTTGATTGGCTTGGAATTAAGGCAAGTGTAATCAAAACTTCATATTAGTGTTGTCATTAGAAATTTCTGTAATTTCTTAGTGATATTTGTTTCGGGGTTTTCTGATGTCCTGCGGGAGAGTTACAAATCCAAGACTGAACCCTGACGCCTGTACCTGCAAAACAAACGGATACTCCGAGTGACTGGAGTTCCACCTCCAACGGTCAAGTTAGAACTTGTTTAGGGAGTAATTAATGCGGAAAATATGTAACTGAGTCTCTCTAGGTGAGAGTGTTTAATGTGCGTAATCCCCCTTAATGAGGATTAATGAAGATATTTATAACCTTGGGA